CAAAAACAAAGAAAACTACCTAAGAAGTCCAGAGGCAATAAGGTTTCTATACATACCGATGGCCGTGGCCTCAGCAACATTTGCGTTGTACTCCATCGTAAAATAAGGTTTGTTGTCGTTCTGGTCGATCACAATGACTATAATCTCCATGGGATCCTCAGCTTGTCCTGCTCCGTCACTCACAGCATGTGCTAGAAACTACACAGACAGAAGATTTTAAGTTTAGATTCGCCCCCACACAGACACACACTTTTCCAATGGAGATCAAAATGCAATAATCAGGTACGAAGTGAGGATGATTACCGTGTAACTGGCTGTTTGCTCTCTGTCGAGTGGTTGTGTTACATACAGATTGCCCGTTTCTCTGTCCAACGTGAAACGACCAACAGGAGGCAGATCAGCTCCTGGACCAGTGATGCTGTAAAAGATCTTCTTTAATTTATCTTCACTAGAGCGGATCTGAACAAAAATACAACAGAACTGAGTCAAACCACTGACTCCAACAAAAGTTAGCGTTGAACAACAGCTACAGCAAAGAGATACCTGAGGTAGAAGACAGGTTCCAATTTTCTACATGCTGTTATTGGGATTGTAAGAAAAACAAGACAGCCCCCATAATCCTATAATTACAGTTGTGTATTTGGTTAAAATTTCCGATTGTTCAAATATGTTATTTTCTTTAGTTGTAAGATAATGTGTGCCCCAGTCTCAAATGAGGAGAATTATTCCTCTGTTACACCACAAGAGGGACCATCTCCTGAAATGAGCAGCTCTGGCTGCCAGGCCACTCACCATGAGGCAGTGTGCCTAACAAACGCTGTGTGAGACTGTGTACAAACCTGTAACTATGTGCATATCGTTGCAGAATATACAGTAAAGGCAGACGCACAAAGCTAAACTGGTTTCTATTTCTTTTAATCTAAGTGTGCAACAGGATCATTCAATAAGGCATCTTGTGATCTCTGAATAAGGAATTATTTTGATATCAAATCTTATTACTGAGTTTCGTTGTGGCACACGTGGGACAGTTTTCTCTCTCGCTGATCATCTAACTAATAATCAATGAAATCTGAATGCTGCTTATTTTAACAACCAAACCTGACTGATGTATTACTGGAGACATGAGTAACTGCAGGTTAGTGGTTCTTTTTTTGTCAAAATCTGTTCTCTGTTGTTGTTGTTGTTTTTAAATATAATTTTGTTTTACATTTATATAAATGAATCTGAGACTGAATGGTTGTCTGTGTCTCTATGTGTTGGCCCTGCGACAGACTGGCGACCTGTCCAGGGTGCACCCCGCCTCTCGCCCTATGACAGCTGGGAAAGGCTCCAGCGCCCCCCGCGACCCTGGAACGGATAAGCGGAAGCGAATGGATGGAGGGATTTATATGGATGCTTCCTGTTTGTTTTTGTTTCTCGAGTCTTTAATTCAATAGTTTTTG